TTTGTGGCATAGTGGGATGCGTTGGTTTGATTGCTTTGTAGTACTTCCTACGTCTCACTTTTGATAAGTTTGTTTTTTTTTCACACTATTTAAAAAAAAGTTGATTAATTTTGTTGAAAAAAATAAACGTAACTTATTATCTTTCTAAAATATCCTTACATTAAATGCAGCGTGGTTAATTAGCTTTATATTAAACTAGTGCTAAAGGCACACCCATGTATGTGCAGTTTAAGAATAATTTATTTTTTGTGGAATCTTTTCAATGAATTGATAGTTATCTTGGTAGTCATGTTAATTGGTAGCTGCCTTTGTAATTAAACCCTTTTTATAATAAAAAAGTTTGGATATTTAAACCTATTGGTAGTTGTAACAAAAATTATTATGTTGGTTATATATAATTAGATAGTTAGGATAAAATTTAGTTTTTGTGTGGATAAAAAGGAAAGTATAAAAAATGACAAAAGATGTTTAATTGGATAAATTTGGATTGTAAATTATTTGAGATAATGTTGTGAAAAAGAACTGTAACACCTTTTTGATATGATGTATGTGAGATAAAAAAGTGATTGGAAAATGTGTTAATGATGCAAGCAAATCAGTATGTGTAAATAAAGTATAATAACTTACAATCCAAACACAAAGGGTTAGAAATAAAGATCAGCGAAAACGTTGGATTGTATATAAAGTTAAATCATCAAAAAAATCACTAATTGGACATTTGATTGCAATAGAACTAGAGATAATAGCGATAGTTTTATAGTTTTATTGGCAAAAAATTTTTAAAAAAAGGAATAGGAAGGAAAAAGAATAAAAAATAATTTTAAAAGTCATTCTAAATATAAACATACCAAACAAGGAAATTTCATTAAATATTCAAGGGTAGTATTATCATTTTAAAAGATAAGGGAGGTATATGTAATTTTTAAAACATCAAGAGAGCTAAATGAAATTGTTAAAATTCTCAAGGGAGGTTTCTGAAATTATTCCTTTATTTTTTGTATCATTTTTGTATCTTCCCATCCATCGGTCAAATTGGGGTATTGAACTGTATTTATTAATTGATTAATACATCAATGGCGGCACCACCGGCGAGGGCTCGAGCGGACTACGATTACCTCATAAAACTTCTACTCATCGGCGATAGTGGTTAGTACCATTTCAAAATTTTCATGGATCGAGCCTTTTTTAGCATTTTTAAATTGATATTTAATTCGTGTTACAATTTCTGTCAATCAGAACAGTTAATGTATGTGGATCTATAGCTTCATTCAAGAGGGGGGGGGGGGTATGGATTATTGGTTATAACTCCGTGCCTAAAAATGCTACCAGTGGCATTTTATTCATATGTCTACAAATCCATTGTGGTTTAATGAATTTATTCTATAGACTCTTCGAATAGCTAATGTCGATCATTAGCTTACAAAAGGATAAACTACACGTTTGTGCTTGTGAAACTCCGATCTTGTCAGGACTGGTTTTGGAAGTTGAGATTTGTATTTGTTGTTCGTGTTTAGTGCTTTCAGTTCATCAAATTGAACTGGTAATATATGCTTACAATGGATTGGGGCTGCTTGGCATGATGGTGGAATCAATAGCATCCAGGTTGGTCGTAATGGTGGTGTCGATGGTTTAGTAGCGGGAGCATGTATGCATCATAATCATAGTGGCAGCATTAACATCTGCTTCTGGGTTTGTGAAGTCATAGAAACTCTAGAAATGCAGGTAGTTTGCCTTTCCGTGTACCATATCAACTAATGAGAAGGATTATAGTTAGGCAAGATGTACTGAAGTACTCCCTCTTTTTTGGTTTCATTGGGAAATATAGTTGATTTAGGTTTCCAAAAAGAAGAATCTGCTGTTCATGTAATGATATCTATTTTTTTTTTTAATACTTGAGTATCCTGTCTAACATGGTTTTACTCTTAATGCTGGCATACTCAGTGTGGTGTTTGTGCAAATGAAATTATGATTTTTGTTGTAATTTTACTTTGACTAGCTGGAAATTTTTAGGGACTTCAAGTTTGCAGAAAAAAGTTGAATTGGAATATAAGTCTACATTTGCGTGTGAAGTTGGATTTGTTCCTCAGACTCTCATCAAGTAAACGTGATTAAGCATGCAATCTGCAAATTTTTATTAAGTTTTGTGTGAGTCTGGTGAATACGTACAATAAACTCATATGACAGAAGGTGAACACTTAGTGCCCTTATGGAGTTTTAGTTACTCATGTGCAGGTGTGGGTAAGAGTTGCCTTCTTTTGCGTTTTTCAGATGGTTCCTTCACGACCAGTTTTATCACAACCATAGGGTGAGTTTTTAATTTTTCCTTCTTTCTTTTCTTTTTCAATTCCTGTTTAGACAAGGGTAGTTAAGTGGGTTGAATTTTAGGAAAATGAGGGGCTATATTTTCTTCTTCAGAATTGATTTCAAGATAAGAACCATTGAGCTTGATGGCAAGCGGATCAAACTCCAAATCTGGGATACTGCTGGTCAGGAACGGTTCAGAACGATCACCACTGGTATGTTGTTGCTTCTGCTTTAAATATGTTGTGCTTTTTTCATTGTGCATAAATTTTCTGCTTTCTTCTTATCAAATGGATGTTGCTTCTCTTTTATTCATTCATGAATTTGGAAGCTAAAAAGTGTTCAGGAACTGTGAACTGGTCTATTTGCACCTGTTATTTGAGACTGCTATTCCAGTTGATGACAAAACATTGAATTGGATTGTTGCTTTTCTTCCCCTATTAACCATTAATTGTGTCTTTACAGCTGTTTGTGTAGCAGTGAAAACAGTATACTCTCCTTTCACTTCATTTTTAATATTTATGATTTTTCATCACTGTCATATGGAGTTGCCTGGAAGGTTTTATTTCTTCATGACTCCCATGTGCTATTGTTCATGTATTTGTTTTGTCACTTAGTCTAGGTATCACTGGCACTTTTTCATATTTTATTTTAATGCCTGTGATGTATTGACTTTTTAACCTTCTCCAGCTTATTATCGTGGAGCTATGGGAATATTGTTGGTCTATGATGTTACAGATGAATCATCCTTCAATAGTAAGGTTTCTTTGCCGCATCTTTTATAATATAAGTTTTACTTATGTTTTCCTGCGGTAGTTGCATCTAATTGGTCTATTTCTAACTTCAAAACTTTTTTGACAAAACTCTATGATGCTTAAGTTTTGTGCTCGTTGTTTATCACCCTCAAGTTATTGTGATCAACGAAATATAATTTGCTTAGCCATTTTATCTTTGTTTTCACTTATATCCTTTCGAACTTTTACTTGGATTTCATTTCTTCTTACGTGAGGCATTATTATTGCCATCTTGGGACCCCTGGATGTTTTGAGCTTTGCTGAATCTGATGTGCCACTAGATACTATAATACTTGATTTAATGAATTTTGTTGGTACACAGATTTGTTGAGGATAGAACCTGAATTTTATGACCATTTTCTCAGATATTAGGAACTGGATTCGTAACATTGAACAGCATGCATCTGACAATGTCAACAAGATTCTGGTAGGGAACAAGGCTGACATGGATGAAAGCAAAAGGGTAAGCTTTCTTATTAATTAGACAAACTGGCATATGAAATAATTTTGTTTAGAGCAAGACAAGTAGCATGATTTGTAGATTATGTTATACAATGTTTAGGAATCCTTTCAAATCCCATTTGGTTATCATTATGTCACAGTATGTTGTCTAAAGCAATTGGACAATTTGTAGGCTGTCCCTACCTCAAAGGGTCAAGCACTTGCTGATGAGTACGGTATCAAATTTTTTGAGACTGTAAGTTGCTTTTGAATGTATTATGTGACATAGCTCCTTCTGTTGCTTCTCTTAATATGACTATACTACACTGCAGAGTGCAAAAACAAATCTTAATGTGGAAGAAGTTTTCTTTTCAATAGCAAGGGACATTAAGCAAAGGCTTGCAGACACGGACTCTAAAGCGGAGGTAAGTCAACCTGGTATTGTTGAACTGGCTCTGATAGATGATACAAAGTATGCGATCTAAGTTTGCTTGCCTTTGCAGGCTTCAACAATCAAAATTAATCAACCGGATCAGGCTGCTGGTGCTGGTCAACTTGCTCAAAAATCTGCTTGCTGCGGTTCTTGAACTGGAAGAATACTAATGAGCACTTACATCAGGTGCTCAATGACAGGAGAGAACAAAAACAAAAACTAATTGTGACGAAACATTGTCGGTGGATGTAATTTAATTAATTGTCATTCTTTAAAAGGACTTATTTTAGTTTGTGTAAGATTGGCTCTTACTGATCGAGAAACTTGCACTTATTGTGGCCAGACGCTAATGGTTTCATCAGTAATCCCTTCTGAATTTGTCCTTTCAGTGTTGTTTATTCTTTAATTGTGAAATAGATTTGTGCAGATGTGGATTGCATATTCCTTCATAGTTAATGCAGTAAGCTTCAGAAATTAGCAGTAAAAAGATGGCTGGCCGTTACCCTTTTTGCAATAGTGAATGTGTTGGATAAGGCATAAGTTTGATGACTGGTACTTGTAGAAGGTCAACTAATTGTCAAAACAATTCTGGCCAATCCCATACAAAATGGTGCGATCTAATTCTCTGAGTTAAGGGGAGGTCTTGGCGGTTTTCTTTTCTTAAAAGGATCAACAGTGGAGTCGTTCTTTTCTATGCTCTTGTCAGATCTGTAAAAGATGGTATGAAAATGAAAGAAAAATGCACCTTCTACAATTATTTGATAAAAGAAGCCAGTAACCTTAAACTATCTTGTTTAGGGCAAAATAATGTCAGCAAATAAAATGAAGATGACCATGGAATGGTGGAAGTTATGCCGAACAAATTTTTCCAAGCGGATGCCCTAGGAAAACAATGAAGGTACGGTAACATGAATATATGCGGTAAACCAAATTGTGAATTCTCTAGCCCCTCGCAGAATTTGGAAACCTTGAAATTGATTCCTTCTACTCAGAAAGTCCACGATTGGTACCAACACAAAAAGGAACTTCCCAAGAACCATCAAATCTAGAAAGAGAGACTTCAATATGCCAAAAATAATATTCAGAATACTGTACATATTGTGGCAGTTATACTGCCTCCATTCGACATCGCATGTTGGAAGATTAACAAACTGTGACATTCCAACTGCAGCAGCAAATTACAGCAAAACGAGAATGAGCCCGAGCCCTATTTCACCAAATATCTAAGTATTTACCTCTATGCACACAAGAAACGATATCCTATTTCACATTTTAAATGGGCAGCAGTTGGGTTGCCATTCTTTATCATAGATTAAGTTCCTCCTTTCCATATATGCGCTGAAGCTCACGGGTTGCTGCTTGGAATGATTCTGGCACAGAAGGGAAAAAAAAATGAATAACAGGCCTCATTGGCTTAAAAAACAATTGACATGTTCCCGGCCCCACTTGGGGGGGTGTTGGGGGTGTATGTGTGGACAGAGACAGAGTACTAGAAAGATACTACCTTTCCAGATGCGAAAGGCTTTTTGATTAATTGGGGAACCAGTCACATTCTGAATGGCATCAAATAACGAACTCTCCGGGGTGTTCCTCAACTCTTGGACAATCTGATATATAGTTTTTCCATTCTCGAAGTATATGTGATTGTTTGGGTGCTTTGTCTTATGACCAGCATGACGCTCAAATTCATAAGCATTAAGAGCCTTCAGCCAAAAACATGCTTCAGAGGTTGGATCGCATAAAAGAGAATAAAAACTAAGAATAAGCAGATGAATTACCTTGGAGTAGTTACATGACTGACAACCACAAAGATACCCAGAACCTTTTATAGTACCACGAAGCTCCTGATTACATACAGCAAGATTCCAATGATCCACCAAACAGTATAATTGTCAATAAACCAAAATTAAAAAAACAAGGATTTACCTCTCGTGATACAGATATATATCTTACAGGCACCCCATCAAGCATTCCAGTTGCTATCAAACTTCTAACATTTGAAGGAAAACTATTCGGAGCTTCTTTTCTGGTTGGTTTCATTTCTGACTTATTTTTGGTGACTGAATCAGGCTTTCCTTTGGGCGTTTGCGAGGTACTTGCAACTGCAATTGGTGCTTCCAAATCCCTTGCATCAATTATTTCTGCTGTTTGAAGGGAAGACTGATTATACAACAAGTCATAGCTACTATTAACAGGCCTAGCAAGAACATCCATATACGGCTCATCTTGACAGCCACCAAAGGATATTGTACTAGAATCCCCCTTACTGAAAGAGTGGCTGAGTGACATTGCACTATCATCACCTTTTGGAAAGGTAGAGTCCAGAGGTTTCATATTCACTTCCACCCTACTATGAGAATGACCCATCAAGGTAACACTCTCAGCTTCCTTACCAAAAGCTTGGGCCATAGACACAAAAGCTGTTTCAGTATCCCTGTTATATGCCTGATCCAAGGACACACCAATATTGTGTTCCTGTGCTGCCTGCAAACCAATTTCAGAGTCCTTAACCTGATTGACTTTAACTTTTCTAATTCCACCATAGCTGACACAAGTTTCTGGATCTTGTAAAGGATAAGACATTGACAAACCAACTGATGTGTCACCCCCAAGTTGGTCATCTATGACTTTTTTTCTCATATTGGAGTTTTCCACATCGAGTTGAGAGGTGTTTCGACTTGATAAATTGGCCGACCTGGTTGTATCAGGACCAAATAACCGATCAATGAATTGGTTTGGTGCCGATTGGAATCCAGAAGCATTCTCCCAAGCAAGACTTGTCATGGGGACTCCTGGAATTTGTTTGCTAACTGGAACATGAACAGCTTGCTTTTTAGTGGAAAAAACCTCATGATCAGCAGCATCAGACAACCACTGATGAGTGCGCTTCGCTTCAATTCTAGAGGAGTTACTAAAAACTGTTTCTCCATCACCTAGGTGTCCGCCACCCTTTGGCATCCAATAACCCTTGTCCTGGAAAGACTGTAAATGAGAAACAGAAAACAAATAACCAGGAGATCCTATGTGAGAATACCAAGATAGATAGATAATAGAGCAAAAGAAATACATAAGAAACTAAAATCTTGCTTGCGGCTAGATGCATGAACTAACGTGTTAAAGAATCCATACATAGGTTTCTGCCTACTTGTGTTAAAGAGTAAACGCATAGACTGTAGATAGGGAATGAGAGAGGAGGCGACAAGTTAAGCCAAGAGAGTACCAGAGGTAAGTTTCCAAACTTCCACTACAGGAGAATGAAAACAGATAAGCAGATATCCGAGAAACAAACCAGTTGTAAAGAAAATCTACAGTGCCTGAAAGGTCATACGAAGCACATACAAGATATCATGCACGATTAGATGATAGTTTTTTACCAGTGCAAAAGTAAAATAAACGAGAAATGGTGTAATAACTTCACAGGTTCTTTATCTACTGAACAGCAGCTTGGCAAGACTTATAGTCACATTTCCCACAGCAACACAGTTTCTATTCTCTTCACTGGTTCGTTGAACTGACATAATTCAATATAATTCTTCAAGCATCAAACACGACAATTCCTCAAGCAAAACATTCACTTCCTCCTAGATGTAGCTTACTTTTCTAAAACAACCACAAATCAACATCTATCCTTGACAAGCACGTCATCTAAACCTTGTCTAGATGTAAATTACGGATGAAACTAAAAATTGAAAGTCAAACTCACACATCTTACCGCTATAATACGTACAGACATACACAAGCCATAAAACACTCATGTACTTCGTCCATTTGAACTCTTGAGCTGGTTAAAATTTGTAAATACAGCTGATGGCTCCCCAAAATGCCAATACCCTTGATTAAAATGACATAGTTCAAAACATGTTGTCAAGTCTAAAGAAACACATTTTTAAGTCCAAGGCGTCGATCAACTGAACTAATCAAATCCCATTATCTGCACATCAAGCCAAGTACAAAACGAGCAAAATCTTTAACCCTCCGTGCAATTATCCCACATAAAACAATAATTAAACAAGCAGGAAAACAGAGTAAAACGTAACGTCTCATTTGCCAAAAAAAAAAAATTACCATTTTCAGCTTTTCCACTTCAATCAATGTTTACTCCCAAATGCTACATGAAACCAGTTCCCTGCTTTCAAAATCTAATACAATAATACAGAAATATTAAGTCTTTCTCTAATAACAACATTTTATCTCGGAAAAAAATTCATATTTGACCCAAAAAAGTAAAAAACTATGTAGACTTAAACCCTAAACTAATAGAGATTGTGAGAGAAGAGAAAAGGGGAGAAAGTAACGATCTTTACACTAGACAACTGACTATGAACTTCAGGTGATATCCGATCAAATTTCGCGACGACAGAGACGGCAGGCGACGGCGTCGTCTCGATCAGTGAAAGAGTAGGTTTTGTGGTCGACGAAACATGGTTATGATGTGCGAGGAGCAGACGATTTTTTCCCGTGAAAAGGATTATAGAATTGTAACTGAACCTGCCGCATCAAATTTTAGGGTCGCCCTCTAGTGACTTACACGTGTATCATAGATGCGTAATCTTGACCGTTGATAAATTGCTAAAGATTTTACATCTTCCTATCATCCATCGGAGCGGTGATCAGATGGATTTCAGCCACATCTAACAACATTGAGTGTGTTTGGACAGCCAATTATTTGGCCAAATATATTTGCTGACATCACCATTACAATTTTCAATACACCTTTTTATCTTCCCAATTACCTTTTTATCTCACATACATCACATCACAAAAAGTGCTACAGTAAAAATATTTCAAATAACTTACAATCCAAACACACTAATTGTCATGTAGCCTAAAGCGAGCCAATGATTCAACCTCACTGAAATGGAGGTTTTTTTTTTTGGGGTTTAAAATTTTACAACCGAAAAAAATGAAATTTAAGAAGTAAAAAAAAAATTTTTTTGAATAGGAAGGTGGGAGTGTGGGACTTAAATAGCACGAAATAAATAGGAAAATTTGAATTCAAAATCTCCAATATTTATTATCAGGAAAAGAATTAAAAACTTTTTAGGTGGCGTTTGATTCGCACATTGGAATAAGATTTGGATTCGGAATCGGATATCCTGGATTTGGAATGCGCTCATTCATTTCAATATATCTGTTTGGTTCAAGTACCTAGAATATATATCATTACTATAGTTGATGTTTGATTCGTCGGCACTTTCAGAATGGAATATAATAAATATATTATAAACAGTATCGTAAATGATAGTCATTGGCTATTTGTAAATGAGATATAAGAAATTTTCACTAATTAAATATATTAGTATAAATGTATTAGTAAATTTATTATATATTATTATATTTAAAATAATAAATATAAATATAATTATATAATTTATTAATATTATATACATGTATATATTATAATTATTTGCACATATAACATACATTTATAAATATACATATATATTATAAATATATTATTATATAATATTAATAAATTTATAATATATATTATATAAATATAATTATATTTAACTAAATAATTATAATATATAATATAATAATATAATAATATCATTATTATAAGTTTGTAACTAATTAAATTAAATATTATATATATAATTAATTATAATTATACAAATGTTATAATATAAATATATAATTATAATTATATAATGTATAAATATTAATTGTACTAATATTTTATATAAATATAATGCATATTAATATAAATATAAATATATAATTATATAATATATAAATATTAATTGTACTAATATTTTGTATAAATATAATGCATATTATTATTAAATGTAGTTATTATTATATATTATTATATTTAAAATAATAATTATAATTATAATTATATAACTTATTAATATTACATACATTATATATTATAATTATATGCACATATAATATACATTTATAAATATACATATATATTATAAATATATTATTATATAATATTAATAATTTTATAATATATATTATATAAATATATTTATATTTAACTAAATAATTATAATATATATTTATATAATATACTAATATTATAATAAATTATATAATTATAATAAAATATTATAATTATAATATATTCTATATATTATAATATAAATATAAATATATAATATATATATTAATTATACTAAATATTATGTAATTATAAGATTTTGGAATCACACTTGGGTTTTGGACAAAACCCACCAACTTACTAAGGAATGGTGGAATGCTAAATTTTTAGATATCATTCCAAAATTTCAATTTCGATAATAGTGAACCAAACATGAATCATGGGTTTATTCCAATTTCCCATTCCGAAACCCTTTTACCAAACGCCACTTTTTCATATAAACAGGAACTTACTGCAAAACCAAGAGGACCAAGTCGGAAACAAAAAAATAAGAAGGAGAAACTTAAGAAACTTTCGAATATGTATTGTGCCATTAATACTACATATAATTGAAACCATTAATACTACGTATACAAAGTTGAAACCATTAATACTACATATACAAAGTTCTTTTTGTTCTCACAAATTAAATTCACTCATCTAATCAGCTAAACCTAATGAAGCTCAAGCTATGATCATAATTTAATTGAGCCTACCCGCTCAATTCCCAACCCCCACCCCCCCCCCCCCCCGCCAAAAAAAAAAAAACAAAAAAGTTCAGCTCCAAATTTCTTGGATCCAACGAACTTTGCCTGACTAAACCTTATTTACATTCCTAGTTATGCCTTGTCAACGTACTCTAGTACAAACAAACTGCATGTTACAGATGAAAAGTATACCTCAAACCTCCAAATAGCAACAAGACTGAACATGAACGGTGTCCGAATGCCCGCCGGGAACCTCTATTTTGGTCAACGCTAGATCCATTTCATGGATGTTTTCTAACTCATCCCACTTCCAGCCGTCAACATCATCAAGCTCGAGTGCCTCTGCACTGCTCTCAAAATCCCCTTGCCGATCCGTGCAGTAACCACCAACGACATGGAATCTGCCACGGTGGAAAATGCACTTGCATTCGTCACGCTCTCTCGCCATGTCACGCAACACGACCCACTCATTCTTGGCCACGTCATACATCAGCGCAGATGCAAGTGCGTTTTTGTTGCCATCATGTCCACCTGCAACGAGGATCCTATGATCACCATCAGAAGCACTGCCAAAGAATGATCTCTGTCCACCTGGCATAGCAGCCCCATCTCGCCACGTGGCGGTCAGGAAATCGTAAATAAAGACTGAATTCAAGGTTTTCCAAGAAACCGGGTCATACCCGCCAATCACTACCAGGTTTGTCCCGACTCCTGCAACTTGGCAAAACATCGGCACACCCTTGGAGAGTCCTGGGATCGAAGGCACCTCGTACGAAAAGCGTCGTTCAGGATCACAGATTTTGAGCAGGTAATGATGTAAGCGTCTAGCACCGCCGTCATCATCATCGCGGATATGCTCATTCAGGTTGCTATCTGCTCGTGTCATCGCGATGAGGGGTTGGGTAAATCCAGCAGCCTTCCTTCGCTGCCGAAATTCTGGCAGCTGAATTTCTGCCTTCCAATTCTTGGAAACAGATGCAGCCTTTGATATTTGGCTGAATGGGACTCGAATAAGGCACTCGATGGCTACATCATTTGGAAGGCCAGGAATCAGCTCCATTGGAACGCCTAGTATTCCTATGAAAAAGAGAAACCAAAACTGCTTCTGCTGTATATTGATTGATTGATTATTGACAGACAAGTGCGAGGGAAAAAATATTATGTTTGCTGCGAAAGAACAGAAAGTGTGTGAAGAAAGTGGAGGTTAAACGAATCTCTTTTGAAGAGGGAAGTTTTGCCATAAGCAAATATATAGAGATAGTTCTGTTCTTAAAACGACTTAATCAAAGTATGGTATTTCTTATTACCTCATAAAGCTGACGGACTAGATTCTACTAAATCTTTTGTTTCTCGGATGAGACCACAGAATTTGATGGACAAAAGTTTCTAGAGTTCCATGGATAAAAGCTTTTGACTTCATCACGTGATGACTAATTTGTCAAGAACAAGAACACATGTAGAACAGCACACATCTCGTCATACTGATGGGACAGACCGTCATCCCGAACGTATAGAATGTTAATTAACGGCAAAGCCATATCAAAGTCAGCACTTTGAAGCCTTGGATCATCAACTATGTGTAGCTTTTGGATTCTTTTATTATTATTATTATTATAAATTTTGTGAATAATCGTTAATTCGTTATGGGCTCTACTTTTCTAGTCAAAAACCTCGAAAGCAGAAGAATTAATTGTTCAAATCAAGATAAGTTCAATATTGCATCATACCCAGGCATCTTTTACACGGAAAGGAAAGAAGGCATGAATCAAGTCACAGGAGAACAAAAGAAGACACCAATGTTCACAAAACAAGATAACTCAAACAAATTAGAAAAGAAAAGTCAATGACAAAACATTTCTTGATGATGCATGATGGCATGGCACGCAAGCCGCGTATATAATAGTGTATCTAAGTCGGAACAAAATAGTTGACGAACTCTGTAGCTTTTCATAAAGGTTTTGTTGATCAAGGCGTGTGTTGCTTTAGCGTGCCTTACTACAATAGCAAGAACAGTTTTGTATACAGATTATAAGATGCAATCCATGATTATGCCCTAGTAAACCATATATGCACAAGGCAGCTAAGTCCTGTTCCCTTAGCCAACTCTCCATATATAGGTGCCGTTTATTACAATCCAACTCTCCATGAAGCATCCTCAATTCTGTGTGACAGGCAGGGCCTTCATTTCTAGCTTTATGGAAGTGAAGTTAGAAGCACATATATAATATAGAGAAGGTAACAGGGCAGCGGATTTCTTAGCAAAAATATGGGATGAAAACTTGTCATCCTTTTCCTCATTTGTAGACTAGTGGCGCCCTCTTTTTAAGTTCCATTTTGTTGGAGGATTTGAGGAGAGTATGGTTCCCTAGAATATTGTAATTAACTAGTTTACAATTTAATCTATGCTGGATCATTATTTACCAAAAAAAAAAAAATGTGCTCAATAAAAAACGAGCACAAGGGGCATGAGCTTGCGATCAATTTCATTTCCAACTTATGTTGCATGGAGTCCGACTGCACATGGCCAGTGCATAGCTTGAGAACGGATTGAGTCAAAGCGATTGTGATACAGATAGGAATAGATCCCTTTCTTAAAAAATAGTAAAATGAAGTTTGAGTCAAGGACGAGCTGGAAATCAACTTTGGCATTAGGTATGGAGATGTTTACCCTCAATGACTGACCGTCCTCAGCAAATCACTCATCTTGCTTTGATTGCTGATAGAGCAATATCATTTCTGCATTCTTTCAAACATTTGCACTAATTTATACCATCTTCATCTTCTATTAAACCTTGTTAACCACTAAGTTTCTTAAGAGCAGCTTCTTTGATCTGTAAGAAATTGATCGTTCCTCTACCTAGCTAGTGACTAATCTCCGGCCTCCAGGTTAGATGTTTGAGCATTATGAAGCACTTATCATCACAATCGAAGCTAAAAGTCCTGCTGGATTTGATCTTGTGTGTTGTGGATGCGCTTCATGTATCGATTTCAGAGGAGAAGATAAAATAAACAGGCCTATGGTCCGAGAATCTTGATTCTGCCCTTGCATAAATTATCTGCTTCATTCCTTTACCTCGCCATAGTATCCAGTCACAGCTAGCCAATCACAAAAAGTGCGCAATTTATCTTCTCATTAGCATGAACATATTTTACTTGTCCCCGTAACTAGCGTGACAGATAGAAAGGATGTCACCACAAAGGCACAAATGCCAATTTGTGATATAGTTTTGTGCAAATGATTTCGTCCTTCGAAGATGACTCTTCCAGTATCCGTGCTTTGTTCTCAGTGGAGGGTTCACCTTTTTTGATACATTTCTCTAACTTTGTCAATTTGACTAATAGCAATACTCTGTCCATTACTTGATATCAATGAAAACAATTATCAGAAGATGCAATGGAGGAAATCAACGAAAATTGACTAGAGAGGCTAGAATACTTGCCAGGCGGGAGAGGGAGTTTTTTTGCTTATGTTTAAAGATCTGATTCACGTAATGGTCAGAGTTGATGAGATGCTTGTATGTGGGAGCAAAATGTATCTGTCCCTCTTGCCATCTTTCAATAACTCATCCAACTCTCTGTTCGACTAAAAGCTGTCAATGCCACCCAAACGCTATCAGAATTGCAAGTCCAGTCCAACTGATAAGCTTATTCAAGATTCAAACAGAAATTAAGAAGAGGATAATAGACATTCCGAAGTCCACTCTAATTTGTCATCTGATCTCTTTCAAGAAGGGACTGCCGTGCGCCAATTTATCTTCTCATTAGCATGAACATATTTTACTTGTCCCGTAACTAGCGTGACAGATAGAAAGGATGTCACACAAAGGCACAAATGCCAATTTGTGATATAGTTTTGTGGCAAATGATTTCGTCCTTCGAAGATGACTCTTCCAGTATCCGTGCTTTGTTCTCAGTGGAGGTTCACCTTTTTGATACATTTCTCTAACTTTGTCAATTTGACTAATAGCAATACTCTGTCCATTACTTGATATCAATGAAAACAATTATCAGAAGATGCAATGGAGGAAATCAACGAAAATTGACTAGAGAGGCTAGAATACTTGCCAGGCGGAGAGGGAGTTTTTTGCTTATGTTTAAAGATCTGATTCACGTAATGTGTCAGAGTTGATGAGATGCTTGTATGTGGGAGAAAATGTATCTGTCCCTCTTGCCATCTTTCAATAACTCATCCAACTCTCTGTTCGACTAAAAGCTGTCAATGCCACCGCAAACGCTATCAGAATTGCAAGTCCAGTCCAACTGATAAGCTTATTCAAGATTCAAACAGAAATTAAGAAGAGGATAATTAGACATTCCGAAGTCCACTCTAATTTGTCATCTGATCTCTTTCAAGAAGGGACTGCCATTCATGTTTTTTCAGCAGTTCAGGAGTATCATCATAGCCAGATGCCAATCTGTAATTCAGATCCCCAACCCAAAAGATATTGCAGCAACGAACAATAACCAATTCCCACCACACAAAAACATCAGGAAAATTGCAGGAAAAACTACTGTACCGTATGCTTATTTGTCGTACACAAGATAAATACTTACTCATGTTCCAATATATGGCCGGGAAAGGATGGTTTTTCAAGACTCTTTCGGGAGAGCAAAAAATTTGTCCTACAAAGAATTTCCAAAACATCATGGATTCTGTCATTTTCTTTCTCACCAGAGGCCAAATGTGTGCAAACGAAGCAGAAAGAGGTGTGATACAGTGTCATAGTGATAGACACAGATCCCTGCAAATTGCCAATTAAGAGGCTGTTCAAGTTAGTGATGTGATTGAGAAGTACCATTTTGCCTTGGATACCTTGGTCCAAAACTGCTTTCTTTCTTTTGTTATTACATTATTCATCAGCAAGAAAGTGCATCGACTGCATATGCTAACCTTGTTGCCCATGTAACCCATGATGCCTGTACCCACGCAAGATACCTTTAAGTTGGTTACTTGCTGGTAAATTTCAGCTCGAACCCATACACATAACAATATGCCAACCATCTGCTAGCTGGCTGCCAAACAATATATATACTGGTTCGCCCCCGCTAATTGTCTTGGGACTTGAACTTTGTTGCTTAATTTGACTAGATTCATTCAGGAACAACATATCTGAAGAACAGATTCTGGATTTATCACCAGCTATTCGGCCATATTTAGGACACAAATTGTTTACGCTTTTAATGTTGTGGCCGGCATCCTGGTCTCCTTGCCCACCACTATCTAGAACCTGGCGAACTAGGGACAGCCACTTAATTTGCAGCAGGATTGCCATCCTCTACACCCAAGACATTAGCTGCATTTAGAGGCACGATTTCCTGGAACCTAAAGGGGAGAATTATTTGCGTGTGAGTGGACAAATCTTTCTCGTGGAAAATTTAAATTACATAGTACTCACTATGCTAGTACAAGAAAATGGGAATCAAACTGTTTCATCAATATGAAAATTCCCCTCCACCAAATTTTAGTGCATTTCTCCTATCCTCCAGGGAACACAAATTGCTGGATTCCACATTTCACAAGCATGGCCACCTTGTGTAATCCTTCTGGGACGAAGCAGGGATTCGCTAGTATGGAACTAAATCTGTTTTCTTGCTAAATGCAGATTAGGTGTACCTTATGGGAATATGAAGTGCACATGTTACTATAAAAAGCTGCTGCAGTTTTACGTTCCTGCAGTAAGGCTTACTGCTGAAACTGATAAATTTGAAACTGGTGAAACAGGATAATGCTCATAAGCAAGAATGAAGTCAAAGATTTGTTCACATAAGAGATCCTCTTAAAGCAACTTTGGGGGAGGGAACAGTAATAAGAAGCAAAAGGAGTGCGTACCCAAAAATATATAAATCAGGAGGGATATTATGTGCTTGTGTCCAATCTTTCAAATCCACTCCAACCTCTGCTGGTTTCCCTCCCACATTCCAGGTACCTACGAACATTCTATAACCAATATATCATGAACATTCTATAACCAATATCTCATGAGTTCATTAAATTAGCCAATATATTTCCGGTTTCTACGTGATAGTATAAGTAGTAGTAACTGGTACATGATTTGACAGTTGAAACTATCCCATTTGTTGTGCTTGCTTTTGACAGTTCAAATCCACATACGTCGTCGTTGTAGGATGGTGAGAAGTTGACCATATCAGCTATTGCATCAGCTGCACCAATTGACGAAAATGACAACTAATATTAATAAAACAAA